ACACACACACACACGCACACACACACACGCTTGTCCTTCTATCTTTGTGAGTACACTCATTGACATAAAGCATCCAGCAGTCCTGTGGTGGCCAGACTACGGCCCTCAGGCCAACTGCGGCCTGCTGATCATTTGTAAATTTTTTTACAAATGAACAATATTTCATTTTTTAAGTGGGAGCTTATACCATGAACGTAAAATTATATTTGGCAACTTATTTCTCCAGATATATTATTATCTTTTTTAAACCAGCAGATACTGAAACACTTTTGTGTAACATGTGGCAGTAAGCTAATGTGGCTAGTAAGCTAATAATAATAATCGAACATTCAAATGTTCACCCTAGTTGTTATGATATGAAAATAATATGACGTGATACATTTGGTTTTCTAGTGCAAAATCACATATTTTCTTGAAGTGTAAATGGTTGAAAAAACTCCCCATTTACTTTCATTAACATTACTGTTTGGCCCACTGACTCATTGTTGTGTACCAGGCCCACAGTCACAAAAGGGCCCTGACTCCAAAGACCCCGAACCTTCCCTTAGACATCACAGCTAACCTCCCCAGCCCTTACCCATGGCTAAAGCTAATGCTAACCTCAACCTTAAACCAGTTCTCCATAAAACAGGCCTGTGAAGTGAGGACCGGCCAAAAGGGCCTCACAAAGATAGAAGTATACAAGTACACACTCACAAACGTGGAAAACGCCTTTATGAATCCACACTTTTATCCCAGGTTATTGAAATGAGGTTCTATTTTAAAAACAAAACTCCAACTTCTAACACTTCAACACAAAAGCATCTGGGATGGATCTTTTATTTCATTTTTAATATTTTGGATATTTGATGGCACATATTTTTTATTTTGTCCAAGAAATGTTCAGCATATTAAGGAAAAAATAGACACTTTATAAACAATATATTTAGAATAGAATTTTTCATTTTGTTGTTTGTGTTTATGCGTGTCTCTTTTAGTCGTATGAAACATGTTCTGCATGTGTTAGAATGAAGTGACTGGGCAGATTAACAGTGTAGGATTATCTCATAATGTTCTAATGCTCTATTTTCACCAGTACTTCATCCATCCAGCGCGATGCAGCAGCAGCAGCGGGGGTTTAGGGGTCTTACCCGGGTAGAAGTCTTTGGATTTGGACAGTTTGATGGTGGCTCCGGTCTCTTTCTGCAGCTGGACGATGGTCTGACCTCCCTTGCCGATGATGGAGCCCGCCGCATAGCTGGGAATCAAAACCTTCAGGAAGTACTCGCCTTCCTCTGCAGCAGGAAACAGGAAACAGGAAGTTAGAGAGAGAGACGCTCCAGTTTGTGTTGTTTTTAACTTCCAATAAAGCTGAAAAAGAAACATAATACAAAATTCTACAGTGTGCAATATCAGTGTGAACCTTTGCCCTCATGCCGCCGTGTGTTTCTGTAGTTTTATTGATTTTTTGACCATTTTTGGACATTTTAAACATTCTGCACAGTAGTCTGTCAGCTCTGATAAAACAGAGGCTGCAGCGGAATCCTTCCCCTCCCTCTCAACCCGAGATGCCAAGCTGCTCCAAGCTGCAGAAATCCTTCCAATCTTGTTGGCCGATGACTGATATCGATGACAACTAATTATTCACACAATCTGATGATTGCGTTATCTCCCCCCCCTTTTTCCCCTCTGCTCGTCCATTTGTGCGAGTCTTTAAACACTCTCACCAGATTGCTCTGATCTAATTTCGACGTCTCAGGGCCAACGTGGAATCTGGTCCTCATCAAACGCCTTGGCGTGAGGGACGGGGGGGGGGGGGGGTAAGGGAGGGTAAGGGAGGCGGGGTGCGGCTGATGAGAAAACGCTGCCCGTTGCTTTTCTTATCAAAGCAAATCAGATCATGAATACGACGCCTTGTGAGCGCATAACACAGCATGTCTGCATCGACACACACGTGCATTTATTAACACGTGCAAAACAAAACAGGAAGCAGACGAGCACAGAGTCCAATGTTTGTATCCACTTCTTCCTTGTAGGTCACTTTCATAGCTGATCCATCTGACCTAAAAACAAACTAGAGGTGGGAACACAAAGGGATGTTTTTTGCGGCGACAAAGTTTAACACAACCTTGAGCAGCAGAATTATATTAAATGTAAAAGGTCTTAATTAAATTGAAGTCAGCGTTGACTTTTGGTTCCCTGTGTGTGTTTGAATGTTCCTCCTCCTCACATGGGCTGCCATGGACCATGATGGGAAACGTATTAGTGATCCGTCAACACAATGTGTTTTCCTGGAAACTTGATCATTAATATTCGCTGAATAGGAAGGCAACTATCCTGCGTCATCTGCACCACAGACACCCATGAAGGAAGAATCCTGGACTAAATCCCGAAATACCGACAGCTGCCCGCTCACATCTACACATTGTGAGTTAAATCTATTGGTTGATGGTCTTAACAGAATCTCAAAGAAACAACCGATCGTGAGCATCGCTGCACAAGACGAACCGTTGGTCCAGAGGAGACCGGCGAGCGCGTTGGGTGCAGTTTGACTGGAAAATAAATCAATAAAGATTAATCTTAACTGTAACAGTGGTTCAGTAGTATTTGCATGTCGATTAAAAGTTAGGGTTTGGCTGGATTACTTTTTTAAGTTAATGTTTTTTTTTTGCTTTCTCCCTCCGTCTCTCTCTGGGAGACCCGCTGACCCGCCCACAGAATCACACACAATAACAGATGTGGGGGCGTCGTGTCAGAGGTTCGTCCCCAGAGATGGAAGTGTGTGTGTGTGTATGAAAAAATCCCTCCCATTTTGCAACAGCCGGGCCTTTGTTACCATGGCGATGATGTCAACAAGCTGCAGGTCAACTAAAGAATAGCACTGCCTCACACTGAGTCACTCATTTCCTCTTCTTCGAGGGGCTGTTTCAGCTTAAGGTCTCAATTTAACAAGAGAGTTTTCTTTTAAAACAGCAGGACTGAATGTGACGTAAATAAAGACGTTGAGATGAAGTGTGTCACTTCAAAGAAAATGCCATTCTGCTGTGGTTTATTTTTCTATCTACAGTCTTGAAGATTGAGAAGATGCTTGAGAACTAGTTGCCCTTGTGATGGTGTTGCATATATTGTAAAATGAAGCACAATATCTTAAGTGCACAGAGCAAAAAACAAATTTGGATTTGCTATATGAATGGGTCAGTATTTAGGTTTCTTCTTTAATTCTAAACCAATTGCCACCTATATCATTCAGAAAACAATGAATTAAAACACTAAAGGCATATTCTATTATTTTCTTTAATTCTATAAACAAGGGATTTTCAATTGTTTTATAACGAGTGCTCTACGCATGTACAGAATGTGTAATGTCTGTTTAAACTGAGTCACTGTATCCCAGACACTGCTCCCCAGCAGCAGTGTCCGTCATTTTTGATAATTCAGAACACAGAACCGCAGGAGGCAGATTTAAATAGGATTATTATTACAGAGGCTCACTCTCTCATAAGCACCTTGTATCACTGTCATTCTGTCCTCTAGCAACCAAACTGTAAAAAATAGCACAAAATATTACAATATTCTGCTTTCATTTGAGGGGCAAGACTTCACAACCATTAAATGCATTTTAATAACTCGAACTAGAAAGACGCCAAGGCGTTCTTTATTCTGGCTGATCAGAACTCTGCTTGCGTTGACGCTTAGAGTACGAATCGTATGAATCATCTCAATTTCTGAAAATTAGTGTTTAATGAGGCTTAATAACACCAATGAGCCAATAACATTACAGCCACTTTTTTCAATTATGTCAATTATCTCTAACTTTCTGATTTTTCCATTGAACATGTCATGAAACTGCATGGTCTGCAGGTTTAGTCGTGATTTCATGATACATGAAAGTATCATCATCAGGATGAAGTTCTAAACCGGTTGCATTTGACACTGGAACAATCGCCTCAATTCACATGACGCAAATATTTTTTTCTTCTTTCAAAGATAGAAAACCTCTGGGTCGGGTGTGTAGAGATTGTTGGTGTGCAGAGAGTTTAACACGGGCGGCCTCTGTTCTCATCTCTGGGTGTTCAGCCAAGTCAAAGCATGAGCACACAGACAGGAAATCTGACACTCCCGTGCCCTAGTGATGAAATACAAACTGCAGGCGGCTCAGACTCCGATGTATGTATGTTTGGTAAAAATAACACTAGCTCACTCGCTTTATTCCATTGTAGATGAAAGTTCGTTAAATGCTTTTCCCTTCCGGATTTCTTACCAACTGGATGTTTACAAAAATAAAAGATAAATGCCTGCATCCTAATGATCTACTCCACTGTACGCTCCTCCTTCTTTCTTCTTTAGGAGATGCATCCTACTCCTCCTATCCTCTGTTTCTTGCTCCTCTCCTTTGTCTCCTCACTCTAGTTCCCCAAGCAGAAAAATACACATCCACATGCAAACAAGCTGACGATCTAATCTGCATAACTTCAGCTGGAAGCGGCTGGATTTCAGTGGAGGAAAGTTGAATTTTCCTTGTCAGAAGATTCGTTGAACGTGCTCCACTTTCATCAGTAGTCGTGCTTCTCCTGCAAATCTCGTGCCCTGAATGGATTCAGCGTTTTTTTTTTAGTACCCGGGCCTTAAACGCGCTTCGGAGTCAGCTGCATTGTGGGACGTCACTGGCCTTATTACAGTTGCCTGATGGGACTCTTCATTTTAGAAAAGGCTCCTTATCAGCTTTCTATTCTCCGTCTTTATATTTTCGTTGTAGTCAAGCAGCTTGCACCGCTGATTAGCTGCAACAATGAAGTGGCCTTCATTGTGCCGTTTAAGTTCTTGCTCTTGCTTATTAACAAAGCTCGTAGCAGCACTTTCGTTCTGTCAGCCTGAGGAAATGTCACATGGTTGTGCCCGTCTTCTTCTTACCTCTCCATTGCTTTCATCCTCCTTCCCTCCCTCCTCGTTTCCTGTCATTGCCTTTCACAGCCAATCTTTCCTTTCCTCTGGTCTTGTCTCCTTTCCTCCCAGTCGTAGTTACCTCCCTCTCCTTCCTTTTCCTCTTCTTTTCTCATCCTCTCGTTCTGTCTCCTCTTCTCTCCTCAAGGTCATTTCCTCTCTACTCCTTTCCTCTCCTCTCTTCAAGCTGCAGTGGCCCACTTTTGAGTACGAAGCGTCGGACTGACCTGCTTTACTTAGAGGGTAGTTAATTATAACCAGCCTGTATTAATAAGGCAGGGGAACTGGTAAATATGCAACACACACACACACAAAAAAACACATAAAAACACACGCGTGCGGACAAACACCCCCTTCACAAACAGACTGTTTCGACGTCTTACGGCAACATGACGCATCATGTGTACGAGTGGAGGTAACGAGTGACTAATCGTGCTCATCACTTGCATCTGTTGTCGGTGACAATTGTCCGTGTCACCATGGCACGCGTTGGAAAATGGATTTAAGCTTCAAACGTAGACAAACACGTCCAAAAAGCCTTTCTAAAACGGACACGATTAGATTAATGCCTGTGCATTTTGTGGTATAGAAAATGATCTATAATCTAAATATTTCCCGCGTTAGGATGTCCTAAAAAGCGACAATCACACACTCTTCTGTATCATGAAAAAGGCCTTCAGTTCTACAGTGTTGAGTTTGTGTACCGGTTTATGTAACACAGATTGAATTACACATTGGAATTAAGCTTTTAGTGGCTTTGATAAGTGCCATGACTCAATTTTCATAAATATAAACTTCCAAGAAAGATAAGAAAAAAATGCACATTCTGCCTCTTCCTTCCACACTGCAGTTGCCGAATAATCCTGTTTACAGAACAACATTCAACAATCAACATTCCTCTTCTTTTATCAGGTTGATCAGGTCGACATGTAACGGTCTAAGCTGGAAAAGTCCGGCAGATTCTGTTAGAGCTCGTTTTGAATGATCCTTCGGGTTGGAAAAAGAGCATTTTGAACATATAGAACATATTTGCTTGACTTGCTTCTACTCTGAGTGAACTTAATGCGGATTTCTTTCATACCAGTTTGCTAAAAATGTTTTCCACCTAATTTGAGTATTGAAAGTACAAATATAAAGAGTTTTGTGAGCCCAAAGGGTAAAAGTGATGAAACAGGATTACATGATCAGCGGCTTTCTTATTTTAGACATTTGGTTCCCAATTGTAACTTCATCCCCCTCACTGTGGAGAACACACATAAACCTTAATGGTGGTAAATGATGCTGCCACTCATGTGAGTCTTTCCTGATCCTACGTCCGAGCCGGTTTGGTGTCATTTTTTTCTCCCACAGTTCC